ATTTAACTTAATCTCTGAGAAACAAGCCGGACTCTCAATGTACCTTACGCTAGTTAACTCTCTGAAATGAGATGATCTGCTGTCCTGGGCCCTGCTCTTATAAACTCTTACGCCAAGTATTTGTGAATCAGTTTTCTTTGAGAATATGTGAAAGTGTGTGAAAGTGTCACTATTAATAATCACTAGAATTAATTCTGTTCAGAACATCTTTGTTCCTGCAGACAGTCAACTTGGGAGTCACATACAAGAGAATGTGTCCCACAGGCCCTATTCCTCTGACACATAATAAAATAAAATGTTTTTTTTTAATTTGTGATTCGTGGTGCTAGGCGCTGAAAAAAGAAGGAAAGAAAAGAAGAAAACATACATTTCAGGTATTTTATGAAGAAGACAAAGTGTATGAGCCCTGCCCAGTATCACAAAAGCTGTTTTGTTTGTTTCCTTTTGATTGGTAAGCCATGTAAAAATGCAAGTCTTCAGAGAGGAGGAGGATGGCTTGCGCTCAAAGCCTGGCACTTACAGAGTTGTTAGAGGAGATGAACAAGATTTTCAATCTCTTGAATTTCCAGGACAGATCTGGAAATTTAACCTGTATATCCTACGCAAATGAAGCACCTGAGAAACATCATTGGTAGATAATAAAAAGGAGATGCTCTCTTCTGCTGTCCTTTCCTTGCCTCTTTTCAAGCCAGCAGCATTTCTCTGAGAAAAACAAGCATATGCTCATTCCTAGGAGCAATTATTTCCAAGGACAGAGGCTCCCCCTGGAAAACCTGTATCCAGCACCTGTGTACTGAGGCATTTCCACTACCACTGTGTTTGTGCTTTGTATTTTGAAAGCTCTAGAAGCTGCGTGTTTTTTTATTTCAAGGTGCCTTTCACTTTCACTGCAGTCTTCACAAGGGCCAGATGCTCAGATTCAAGCCATGCAGGGTTTTATTTGTGAGTATGAGCACTATCAGATCTGGCTGGGAACAAGACTAGCAGTCTGATCTCTCTAATTCAACTCAAAAATTCATTTTCCTATCACAAAGCAGAAAAATGCAGTATTAGGAAACTCTAACAAGGAGCTGATTTGTTGTTAGAAAAAAACACCAAAAACACAGCTTTAATTTATAATAAGGAAATTAGTAGTAAAGGCAGGTCTTACGTAAAGAATATTTGCCTCTTTGTTGGTTACTACAGGAACATAATGAACGAATAAAAGACATTGAAGCCACTTTAGCCTGGTGTGTAGCTCATTATTACAGAATTGTTGGGTTTTGTTAGATGAACAGAATTCAATCCCAGATAAATGGTGTATTTTATTGACTGGATTATGTTTATGATAATTTTAAAAGGGCAATCTGTCAGAGCTTTATTTTTCTTTGATTTTTGCATTACCAAGAATCTAAAGCTATACTGTTAATAGACAAGGTATATCCTAGTTTGTAAGCTAGAAGTAAACAAAAAAGCCATCAAATATACCAGCCTTTGAAGTACACACTGCATAATGAATGCATTTGAAATGAAACCCATCACTGATTCAGACACAGAGATGATTACATCCCTAATTGTCCCAAGCCTTACAAAATACACATAAGAATCACATGTAATTGGTGTAAATTAAACTCCCTGAACTGCCCGGAGCCTAAACAGAGAAAATAGAGAATGAGACCAAAGACCTACAACAGAATGCTGCATTTAAATTGTATGCTTCAGTTTTAATTTCAGAACTTATTAAAGTTTTCTGCTGGCAGAGGCATGTTTTCATCCAAGCCCTAAGCACACAACACTACTTAAGACCGGCTTTAGAAATTTGGTGGTCCTTAAATTCAGAATGAACTGCACTAGAGAGAAATACACTATTTTGCTATGATGTAGTTTAATAAAAGAAAAAATACGAAAGTATTTTTCAGTAACTGTTTCTCCTATTCTAGTTTCAGATCTACCTAAAGATTGAAAAAAGTATTTTCCCCATTATTTTTTATTACATACAACTGGATGTAATTAGCTGGATAAACAATTAGCACACAAATCTGATGAAATGGTGTCCAGACACTGGGGGTTCTGTGGAGATGGGAAAAAGAAATAGGATACAGGGAAGCAGCTCCTAAGGATGTTGCAGCTCACTACAAGCATCTGCCAGAGTAACATTTGTTTATAATTCACACCATTCTGATGTAATGACAGTGCTGGAAACTTCTTACACTCAGATCACCCAACAGCTGCCACTAGAAACACAAAAGCTTGTCATGCAATTGCAGATGCATTCTTTCAGCAACCAGTAATTCAGTGTACGTTCACTGCATCATTTCCTCTTCCCAGGAGATGCAACAACACTTCCTATGTCTACACAGATCTACCCCAGTTTATTGTGGATAATGATATTTCACTTTACTACATTTAAGACAGAAAAAAAGACCCACTAAGACTGTAATTAAATTATGATAGCTTTGTGATCTAATTGATTTTCAGCCAATCCTAACCTATCTTTCCTTTCCCATTGTATTTTCTGGAATATCAAAATGAAAATTTGGATACTCTTCAGAGGCCATTCACTGATACGGTAGTTTCAGAGATGTTCTAAATTGGATATAGAGTGTTCATCCTGAAAGAAGAAAGCCTCACCTTGGCTGAAAGACAGAATAGCTTAGAGGTAGTTTTTAGAGCAGCTGAAGTCCAACTGAGTTGATTTGCATGTTTAGTTGCATTTCTTCACGTAAGAATTCCACGAGACTGAATAACACAATTGATTTGTTTTGGAAAATTTGAACCTCTAGACAGAGAAAGTATTAAGCTGTATGCTCTGTACCAATGTAGTAAAATTAGTGTATGTTGTCACTCTCTGCATTAAATGGGCACAGATCTCCATTACCAGGTAGACAATGATTTCTGTTCTCAGCATCAGGGCCTTGATTAACAGAGCACACACTGTAATTTTAAAAAGACTCAGAGAAGAGTCAAGAGATTTCTATACTGAAACTTGATTAAGTATTATGTCATTTTTATGGATTCCAAACACTATTTAGAGATCAGAGATGAGAAAACCAGTTTCAGTTGGAAAGTAATAAGATTGTTTTATGTCATTATCTTTTGTTAGCCATTAAAGTTTATTAAAGATGCCATAAGCTGCCTTATTCCTCCTCTACTTGCAATTTATAGTGGCTGCACTGCCAGAATACAATTTCTCCTATAAGTGGAGAAAGCCCATGCAGAAATAAGTACTAATCCTGCTTGTTATTGAATACATCTCTCAACAGTACTATATAGGCAACATCTGATATCATAGTTCCAAAAATTACCTTAGGTTCTGGATGACTTAAGAAACTCTTAATATTTCTGCCAATGAATCTATGGACAATGCAGCTTCAATTTCCACAATCGATGCAGTACTGCATGTAATGCAAGACCAAAGCTCCAAAACCTGAGTATTGATATTTGTGTGCCTTGTTAGGGTTCATATAGATAAGGCTTTTTCCCACTATCACATCCTGCGGGATTCTGCAGACACAAATCAACCAAACCAGAATAAAATCCATGAGTCTTTCTTCCTCCCCTTCAAAAGATGGCCTAGGTCACAAATGAATCTTTTTCGTAGAAGTTAGTACAAAGTACTCAGAACGTAGCAGAAGTCTTTCAATCCCTCAGGTCCTTAGAAAGGAAAAACATACATTTCTGGTTTACTGGCTTGTTAGATTAATGGGAGTTCTTTTAAATATGCATCAAGTTTCTTTCCCATTTTTTTCTTTTTTTTTTTTCATACCCCATTCTTAAATATCCCAACTCCTGCACTAAATGTTTGAGATTGCGTATCTTAACTCTGCTTAAATTTATTTCTGCCTCACAACATAGTTTTGATCTATATTTTGCTTTTGCCATCTAGATGAAGACAGACTTTGTTACTTTCAGCACCTAGGAGCTAACAGATAGATAAATCTTTACCAGGCCATTTCAGTCAGCTATCAGTCTGATATGGATCTGGTGTTTCTTTGGTGCGTCTTATTTACTCACATGGTATATCCAACCCCAGATCAATGCCAGATTCTCCATATGGAGCTTTCTGAACAGATAAAAGCTCAGACTCTCCCTAGACTTTACTTCCTCACACAGATATTGAAATCATGGCTTTATCAAGTCCTGTTTATTGCCTCTAATATTTGTCACCACCAAGACTTTTACATGCAAAGACCACTATTCTTGAATAGTGCCCCTTTTTTTTTACCCTTCTCACTTTTTCAGTAAGCTCTCCGTGCACCTGGGATCCCAATCACAGATATTAGCTATTAAGAAATACAGAAGGATTTCCCCATTGTTATAAAGCTGTTGTCTCAGCATATGTATACAGACTGTCAGGTGGGAAAAGTAATTTATTTGAGTCAGTAGTGGCAGAGACATAAGTTTCAGAGTCTAGAGGAACAATTTTAGCTAGTTTTGACACTAGCTTTTTCCTGCTATTTTGCAACTTGCTAGTTGCAGCAGAAAATGAGGTAGATAAAAGGATGTGTGGTGTAAAAATTATTTAAGCAAGTTTTGCAACTTGGTTTGTCACTCTTATAAAGACAGTAATTCTCTGTTTTCATTAGGTAGCAGAAAACAAACAAACAACAACAAAAAAAGTGATTTCACTTGCTGCGATGCTGAAATTTACTTTAACCCCAGTAATTCAATTCTAAAGCTTTTCTCTTCAGAAGGTGAGAGTATGTCATTATAAACTGATGTGAAACCATTATTCTTCTAAAACTTCAAGAAAAGAAAAGATTTACAGTGCTGTTATATACACATAGGTACAAATAACAATGATTTTATAGTAACAGCTGAACACTACATATAAAATAGTCAGTCAGTAAAACAAAGAAAAAAGATTGATTTTACTAAAAGAAAGAAGCAGCAGACCTAAAGAATTGGTTCTTATCTGAGACTAACACCACCAATAATCAGCCATTAATAGATAATAGGAATCATTTGTTAAATGATTAGTCTATTTAGGAAGTTATAGGAAGCACCTGCTACTGTTTTCCCCCTAGTGAAGCCAGGAGTAAAGCTCTAGAGGAACTGCTGCTCCCAGCACAAGAATGTGAGGTCTGCTGAAGTTTAGGTGAAGTTCTATTAGGTGTCTTTTTCTTAGTCTGGAAGCGTAAAATGAGAAAAGGAAAGAGACAACTGTGTTCTGGTTAAGTGTGATTCTTGCTGGAGTATTCAGCTCTCGGACCTTTAAGCCACAAGTAGCAAAGCTGAGGATCACAGAAATGCACCTTAAAACCATGCAGGCAAGTTGCAGTTAAAAACACAGGTGAGCAGAATTAGAAAGATGCTTAATATTTCAGGTATATGACAAGCTATTACAGCTTTCTGAATTTTTGTCTTTGAAACTTGATGTTGTGTATCTTTTCTGGGCACCTCTGCTCAGCTGCATAGCCGTTGCATAACAATTGTTTATTGATGCTTGCCTGCTTTTGTTGCAGGCTCACTGGAAGATGGATACTACACAGAGAGAAATGCTGAAAAAATCCTTTTGGTGAGTACAGTGATATGATTATCAGAAGTCATATTGACAGATATGTTGAGACAAATATGTGAGGAAGGAGAGACATGGAGCACAGATGATGTTATTTTAATTAAAACTGATATGCTTAAAGGAACTACAGCTTATCAAAAAGAAGTTTGTTACCCTTGGCCACTTTCTAAAGTGTGTTGAGAAATACAGTGGAGGAAGAAATAGGTGGTTTTGGTTGTTTTTTGTTGTTGTTTGTTTGTCTTTTAAAGGTAATGTAACTCTTACGAGAGTAAGAGTAAGCTCCTTTGTGTCTGTCATAGTTTCTGTGGAGCTAAGTAGGAGACATTACTTTTGGAGTGACCTCTGTATTGCAAGGAAATGAGCCTACCTTCCCTTACTCAATATTTGCCATATTGGTAAAGGCAGCAATGATTTTCAAAATAAGAGCCTATTGTTACAACTTTGAGGAAGACCCACTGTTAAGTTCTTCACATAGATTTCAAATGAATTTCATTATCTCAGAAGTCATCTTTTTCTTACTGTTTGCCTGGAATTCATTCTAGCTCAGAAATGAAACTACTTAATTTGGATACCCTTTCTCAAATTTTTTCTGTGCTTAAATCTAGGACTTTGATAATCATTGAGATTCACAAACTGAGTGTCTTTGATAATATATGTGAAGAATGCTCACTATGTGATTTAACTTTTTGGAGCAAGCCACAGTACAAATGGCAAAGATAATATTTTCTGATATGTAATGAAGTAGTGGGAAGTTCAGAATTTCCTAAATTAATTCTGTTGCACACAATTCCGAGAAAGATTTTCAGTCACAGGTAATAGTCTCATTTAGTCAATTTTTCAGATTTCTACATTTATCACCTTTCAGAAGAGTGATAGTATCAAGAGCAAGAAGCACTTCATCTTCCAGTTTATGTAACATAGAATTTTCTTAATTTCCATTGCCTATCTTGGCCCTTAAAGGAGAATTTTCTTCCTTAGTTTTTAGTTCAAAAATGAGGAGGGAAAAAAAAAAAGAAGAGAATTAAGTGTTAATTCCATAAATTCTTTTACGTAAGACTGCTGCTAACTTGAATACATTGAACTAGACAAATATCCAGTCAAATCAACATAGTGAGGCTGAGAGAAATTCTGGATGGCAGCTTATCTTTCTCAGAAAAATGTTTGAACACATTTAATAAACATAAACATCAGCCAAAAAGTACTTTTTTGGTAGATACCTAAAATCAGAACAGCTACTTGTGGTGGATATAAATACACAACGAAGATAATATGAATCACAGCAAAGGTAGAACTATTGATGAATTAAGTTATTGAGCTTTGAGACTTGTAATCTGGAGTGATGTTCATTGAATCGTAGAATATCCGAAGCTAAATCCTCCAGGGATCATGAAGTCCAATTCTTAGCTCCACACAGCACAGAGTAGAACAATCCCTCACACAGCTGGCAGTGCTGGGCCTGATGCACTCTGGGTTGTGGTTGGCCCTTTTGGCTGTCAGGGCATGCTGCTGGCTCAGCTTCAACTTGCTGCCAGCTTTAACTCTGATCTCTTTCTGCTGCACTGTTCTCCAGCCTCTCATCCCCCCAGTCTGTGCATATAGCCAGGGTTGCTCCATTGCAGGTGCAGAACCTGGCACTTTCTCTTTTAGAGAAAAGAAAGCCCAGGTCTCTAATTTGTCATGAGCTCTCTGTAGTCTCTCTTCAACAATTCCTCCTAAACATTGCAAACATAGTATGCACATGAATCCTATCTGCAGACAATTTAGAAAAACATTGAAGAGATCTGGCTCAAAAATGGAGCCCCAGGAAATCCTCATAGCAACTGGCACAGTGTAACACCACTTACTATTGTCTTTTGAGTCTGACTGGTCAGGCAATTGTTCAGCCATGCTGTTACGTACTTGTCTAGCTGCACAATGAATATTTTGTCCAGCAGGATACTCAAAGATGTTGTAAATATTGTCCTCACTACACATAGACTGTAATTTAGACCTCACGTCAGCACATTCAAGCATCCCAAGAAGGGGGGAGAACAGTGTCTAATCATAATTTGAAATATTTTTAGTATCTGCCATTACTTTGGCTGATGAAGTCTAAAAATATACCTCCAGTACATCCTGTAATTACATGCAAACATTTTAATAATGGAACCAGAGTATATTTTCAGGATATTTCTCACTCCCTCTGTCTCATTTGTCTCTCTCTAGGGGCTATTATGCTTAGGGTTCCTCTGTACTCTCCCTATAATGGATCTACAATTTGTTGTTTTATTCAGAATTATGCAAGAAATTAAGTCAAATATTATTTCTGGTGCACATTTCATTCTGCAAGCTACACATACTCAGTAATTCATTCACTGTTAGAGCTTGCAGAACTTTCATGAACAGGGAGGAGTAAAACAGCACTTGGACACTTGATAAGTGTGCCCCACGGGTGCTGTCTTAAACACTGAAGTATAGCAAAGAACAGGTACCTTTCAGGTTTCAAGACACCTGAAAAAGGCAGCTGAGCTGCAAGAAAAGCATAGGGAAGTTGATCATAAAATGTTTAGTTGTATGATGACAGAGGCATTTATTTCAGATATGCCAATTCATGATATGTTAGTGCCTGTAGTTCAAATGCCTTATTCATTTGAAGTCAAGAAAATCTTGTAGGCAGAATAGACAATCTCAGGGCTAGTTCCAAACCTCATAAAGTTAATGAAATCTTTCCACAGATTTCCTTCAGTTAATGTTTGATAAGCATGGGTCATATTCACATAATCACAGTAAGTGACAAGCAACAATTGCTTGTATTTCTTGGATAAAAATAAAGTAGTAGATTTGCACTACTTACCATGATTTGCATTGTGGCTTAATGGTAATTACAAACCACATCTCTCAAGCTCTTTTTCTAGTTAAATGAGTTAGCGTCCATTAAAGGTAACTGTGAATTCAGAGCCCATTTCCGCTGCCAATTGCTAATTTATATGCATTTTTCTAAGCTTTTGCCTTTGCTGTTAAGAATTTTCTGCCTTACAGGCTTTCAAAAACAACTTCTTAAATGAAGGGAATATTTGTTATCCTTCTTTTCGACCTTCACTGTTATTTTATGTGCTGATATAGAAGGGCTCAGCTATCTTCACCGTTGAGCTTGCTGTCCTGATCTGTGTAGCAGAGAATTGTTAAAGTAGGGCACCTTCATAGAAAATGCCTCAGCTAGCTTGAATACCCTTAACCCGACTTGGTATGCCTAAAGAAATTCTGTATTAGAGCAGTACCTGTAGAACTGTTTTATCATATATAATTATAAACCAAACTGACCCTTAGCTTCTAATTAAGCATTAATTAGGTAAAATACACTGCGATTGTAAAACAGTGTTTTGTAACAAATCTAACTTTGCAGTTTCTATGCTCAAATAGTCAATTAGTTTGAGTATCTCTGGTTCAAGCTGTTGAGTTCATGTTTCTCCTAGCAACAGTATCAATACATAAAAAGTTTGAGCTCTGTGCAGGTAGACAGCAAACCACTTCATCCTGGTTATTTTGATGAGTGCTAGAAACAACACAGTATTCTTCAGTGATCTAGAAGCATTTCCTTGTTTTTTGTTTTTTGTTTTTTTTTTTTAATAGCAAAAAGGAGCACAAGCAGAAGAAAATCATGTTAAAAACTTGAAAGCTGAGTATTCCACGAATATAACTTTAAAAAAAAAAATTAAAAAAAAATTCCCATAACGAGAGATGATGTCATCACCCTGGAATTAAATGTAGCACAGAGCTTTTAAAATATTGCATAATTTGTTTCACCTTCTACAGGGGAAGTTCCAAAATATGATTTAATTCAGGGGCAGCACTTGAGAATTGCCAGAGCCATCAGATCCATTTCATCTCTGTTTTTATTGAGGAAAAATATTTGGGTCCATGACTTCCTTAAACGGTCCTATCTACTAGGTGTAGTAGATACACCAGTAGTAGTAGTTTCTGACAAATAGTCCTTGCAATCACTCCATTTTAATGACTTAATTCAGCAAAGTTTACCTGATTTTAGGATTTAAACAGCAGTCTTCACATTCAATCAGTAGTCTTTTCACATCTACGTAGGTAACTCCGAAAGTAATGCCTCATTTATTTCCAAGGAAACTACAACAGATAGAAAGAACATAATGATAGTACTTGATAGAGCAAATTCTCAGCTACAAAACATTCTTTCAACACAGTCACCACTATCAGCTGTGCGTTTTCACCAAGGATGAACAAAAGCCTGCATGCTGTTCTTGTAACAATCTATACCAGTGAGGGTGACCCACTGTCACCACTGTGAAGCACCCCACCACTGCCTCACTGTACTCGCATCCACTTTCTGGTGTCCTTCAGTGTTCAGCAAGCATCGATGAATGTCAATGGATACATTTATTCCACATGGAGGAATTCAATGACATGCCTTTGCTTCATACCCTCTTCCGCATCAAATACCATCCTGTCAGATTGCCCCTCTGCTGCCATCTGTCGTGCAGCAACAACATGAGAAGGTTCAACCTCTGCGGCCATATCACCAACACCCACCTCTGATGTTATGTGCCAACATCAATCAATAGGGGGCATTACTTTCAGAACAGCCCTCATATTCTACTCTCATATCAAAGATCTAAGGGAAACGAACCTGCCTCTTTTGACTTCTAAGCATTAAAGTTAGGGGAAAACTGTAAATTTGTCAAGTTTTTTGCATACTTAATAATTCATCCACATCTTCTGAGACTTTGATAGCCTTTTGTTTTTCTACCTCTTCTCATTTGTGAATGACAAACTACACTGAAATGAAATAAAACAGAGCCAGAAATGTTTTTTAACTTAATTAATGGAAATGTTTTTAAGTTTGAATCCGTAAAACGCACTAGAATTTTTTACCAGATTTTATCAAGTATTGGAGGTTAGGCAAGAGAGACCCCAGCTTCAGAGGAGAATTTGCTTATGGATTGTTACTGGGTTAAGTGTTGGATTACCATAGCTGTGAATTTCTTTTCAGTTATCTAGTTTTAATTTCTTATATTTCCCACTGTTGGATTTTTGAAGTAATAAATATAAGTGTTCCTCTACCTCTATTCAATATTAAAGGCTACAGATTTTTGATTCAGAAATCTGATTTTAATATTTTAAAAACTTCAGATTTATGCTATCTACTCATTCATTGTACTTGAATGTTATCAAAAAATGCCTTACTGTCAAACTACAGTACATCAAGTATAAAATGAGACCCGAAGGGACTACATAAAATTCCAGAATTTTTACAGTGGATACTTCAAAATGCAAAAATAGATGAATTGTAATTATGGTAAGGGCTCCAATCAAAAGACAGAGGATTTTTTATTTACTACACATTAGTGTGCATTTGCACATCACAGAAATACTGAGCATAAAGTGGAACATCAGGAAAAAAAAAAAAAAAGGGGCATTGGGTCAGATCTCAGCTATCCAAAGGTTTTGCTTTCCAATGACAGGAACGGATTTATAAACATACCTGTGAAGTTTTAATTCTTCACCAGCATACCAATATTTCAGAAAGAAAAAGGAAAGAAGTCCAAGGGTTTTTTTTTCTTCTGATTCTGGCAAGAGAGAAAAACATCTCTTCCTAAGTGTGACTGTTTTATTACACTTAAGAAGATATAAGTTTTAGATTATAAAGTCTGCAATCAATACATTTTAGTTAGGACATATCAAAACACAGTTCAGTTAGTGGTAGGTACGTTTTTGTCTATGTCTTTCTGCCTCTAGCATAAATTTTCTCTGAGTATGAGGAAAAAATGAAAGTTTATTTCAAAGGCAGCAGGAACTGGGAAAGCACAAATGATGCTGATGGGTGAAGTAATGGATCATTGCCTGCTCTGTGAACCTGAGCAATGTGTTAGCCTGATGTAAACACTTAAAAATTAATACCTGGAAAATGTAATAGTGTTTCATTGTAAGATACTCTATACTGAAATTAAATATTGATGTTTTCATATACATGGCTTTTATGAGTATACTGCAGAACTAGAGAACTGAGTGTTGTTATTCATACCAGGTGAATGACAGTTTTCAAGGAAAAGGTTTGGCTGGGTACTCTTTATTAAACTGTATTTCATTGCCATATTTTGAGCAGAAAAGAAAGCAACAGTAATCCAGTGATGTGAAGATGATAATGGAAAACTTGATAGCTGGACTGCTATGGTAACTAACTACGGAGCAGTTCATATTTTTCTTAAAGAATGAGAAGAGGCCCATCACGTCTTCTGATTTCCTGTTCTCTTCCCTCTCGAAAGGAAAGGGTTATTGTTACCTGGGTTTGTGATGTTTTATGACTATTGTTGACATAGATATTCTTCAGGTTGGAGGCTGATGCTAGCCTTATATTTTGTATTCACGCTCTTCAAAGAGTCTGTACCTGCATGTACTACTGTTCTTACTTTTAACCAGAGACTGGAAATGTTCTGAATTTTCTGAATCTGTCAGACTAAGAAGTCTAAGTCTAAGACTTAGAAGTCTAAGAAGTGCTATTAGCTTCTTTTTATTACCCAATGCTCTCCTTGGTTACTCATAGGTAATGAGCTATTCTTGTCCCCAGTATGAGCCCCAGCAGCTTTTATGATTCTAAAATGTAGGCCTTTAGTCCAGCAACTGTATCAGTTTTAAGATTTTAATTATCAAATAGCAAAAAAAAAAAAAAAAAAAAAAAAAAAAAAAAAAAAAAGATTATTCATTGAAATGCTCGACTTTCTGGTAAGGCAAAAAATAAAACATAAAAATTACTGAATTAAATGAATAAAGCAGAAGGTTGTTCCTATGCCAAATTATCAGCCAATTTCTTATTTAAATGCTCTGCATACCAGCTTACCAGCTTAGGGGAGGGGGGGGAAAAAAAAAAAAAAAAACCAATGAAAAATTGGTTTTTGAAAAATTGAAAAATAATATCAGCCTTTTGTTGGTATTGTCATGAAAATTGCATTCTTCAACATTTCTAAGTTCATACGTTGATCTTTGGTCACAGAGTTTGTGATTGACACCTGGTGGCTGTGCATTTATTTTGGAAGAGATGGATGCTGGGTAGTTATGGGTTCTGTCCACGTGTGAATAGCAAAGTGTATGATGTATTTTTGTTGTTTGTTTTCTATAATTTAAAATCAAATACTCTGTGAGGAAAAAAAATTGTAAAAGGGACTCTCAGATGGTGTAAAATGTGTTCACTCAGCTAATAGGGCATGGAGCTGACAGGAACATGCTGACTTAAGTCAACTGAGGATGCAACCATTAGTGGTCACAGAAAAGTATAAAGAAACATCACTATAATGTCTAAAAGTTCAGCATTTTATACTGCTTATAGAAATGCACCAGCTGCTGACAGTTAAGTTCTACTGGGTTGAAATTTAACTTAAGACATTGATTATTTTTGTGCATCATATTTGCAGGTTTTTATTCTACCAACAGCTGTAATGGTACTTTGAAGCTGCTGATTCAGTACTGTTTATAAGATATGGTTTTTTTGTAGCACAGCCTGTTTCAGATCAATAAAATATGAAGATAAGTGGTGAAAATTGAGTACTTTCATAATGAATACTTTCATAAATCTAGCCTTATTATCATACTTGTTTATTTTATTTGTCCTTCAGAGAACAAAGAAGATACCTCCTCCTTTACGTCTAGTAGCATGGCTATAGTTCTTTGCACTACAAAATGCACCTATATCAGATTTCTTATTAAGGGGATTATCACAAAAGCACTGTGCTATCTGGCAAATGAATCATAGACCTAAAAATTTATACTATTACTACTCTTACTAGAAAATCAATTTAATCCATCTGTTTTCCTGTCAACAGAAGGGAGTGCTTATTTAATCTCTCACAGACTGATACAAAGCTTAATACATACAGCATTCTACCAGTGTTAGTTCTTGTTTGGATCACTAAAGCTTCAACAGTTTTTCCAAAAACCTACAATTTAGGCTTGATATTGACATTTGTGTTTAGAAAAAAAGTATATCTAAACCATCGATTTTAAACCTACAGCTTTTATGTTAGATGGATACTTATTCATGGAAAAAGTAACTCAGCTTTTACGCATAGAATTTGCTGAAAAGACCATATCTGTCTAAATATGTACTAATACCAATCTTTGCCCTGTCAGTAAAATGTTATAGAGGCAGATTAATTCTTATACTTAAATATCTTTTAATTTCACTGAGGTTTTCTCTTTTTTCTTTCCTCTGCTTTCACCTCATTAGTCATGATCAAAGTGTATTCCTCTTAATAGTTCCTTAATGTGATGCTTTGATCACATTTTTCTGACTAATTTGAAAGTCTGTTAACTGAATTACAACTGAGACTGTGTATTTGAAGTTTTTGGATTCATTTTCCTTAGGCCATTTTACTCTGTTATACCCAACATTTGTTGGGATGTATTACAGCATCATGGGAGCTCTGTTGCACTGTGCTTCTGCTAGAAGGAGACACCTTTGATAAAAGCAAGTCGTGCATCTCCAGGAACATGATTTGCCCTTCTGTGGACCAAATGTTTCTCAGGTGATTTCTATCAACTAGAAAAGGTGTTGATGGCAACCAGGGTCTGAAATTAGGAAATTTATTCAAATTCCTAGAAGTAACTAGGATAAATTTGGTTTGTTTTACAAACTTACACAGCATCACAGACTCCCAGAATCATAGGGGCTGGAAGGGACCTCTGGAGAGCATTTAATCCAGCTCCCAGTTAAAGAAGGTTCCCTACTGTAGGTTGCACAGGAAAGTGTCTAAGTGAGCTCTGAATATCTTCAGGGAAGGAGACTCCATAATATCTCTTGGCTCCCATCCCTGTGTTCTGTACCGTTCAAAGGTAAAGTTTTTCCTCCTGTTTGTTTAGAATGCTTAGTGTTACAGTTGGTGCCCATTGCCCCTTGTTCTGTGGCTTTGTGGCCCTCTGGTGTGCTTTCTTCAGTAGTTCCTTTTCTTTTTTGAACTGAGGAGCCCAGAACTGGACACTGCACTCCAGATGTGGCTGGCAAGGACAGAGTAGAGGGGTAGGAGAACCTCCCTTAACCTGCTGGCCATACTATTTTTAATGCACACCAAGGTATCATTTGTCCTTCTTGGCCGCAGGGGCACACTGATGGCTCATGGGCCACTAGGACTCCTAGGCCCTTCTCCTAAAAGCTCCTTTCCATCAGGTCAGCCCCTAACCTGTGCTGATGCATGCCATTATCACTCCCCAAGTGTAGGACTCTGCATTTGCCCTTGACTGTGATCATGATTCTTGTCCCTCTCTTGTTCACAAGCAGCTATTTTAATAATTTTCAGTTATGGGTAGCAATCAACAAGGAAATGTCCATGAGCTACAAGAGCCATCTCTCTGTGGGCTCTAGAATAGCCAACACAGAGAACTTTCTTTTTTTCATCCTGTACATCCATACAGAGTTTATTCTAGCAATTTCTGCTATCTTTATGCTTCCTTTCTTGAAGGCTCCGTTAAAACCATCTGAAAACTTGTTGGCAGAAATGTTTTATCCAAAGGTACTCCTTATACACCCCAAAATTTATCCATAAAAATGTACCCAGTTAGTTATCTCATAAGTAATTCATAAGTATCTCATAAGTAATTCATAAGACAAACTCATAAGTTTGTCTCTGCCCCTGAAATTTCTTTGGTGAGGGATCTGTCACACAGTCAATGGAAATAAATACATCAAGGTCACAGGACTGATATTATATATGCAGGAATTGGTAACTGCTTCAGACGATGGAATAATGAAGTTTGTTAAGCAGTTAGGAACCCCTGGAGGAAAAACTGTGTAAAATTCCTCAATAATTAGAGGTTGGTTTATTTTCCATCTGTTATAGCTCAGTGGAAAATAACAATTTTTTTTTTCTTTACTACCTTGGATCCATATTCCAAGAGGTACCATTCACTCTGTTGCTATCAATACTCAACACTGAGTATTAGGTAAATTAAAGCAGAGTAGTCAATTTACAA